CCTGGGGCTTTAACGCTCACTGTATGTGTCTCATTCCATCCGATTTTCTTCTTTCCGTCATCTTCGGAGAGAGTTCCCTTCACGAGTAAAAGGCCCCGCTCATTCTTACCTTGAATCTGCTGCTTTGTACGGCTGTAGTTTCCCAAAAACGTTTAGACACTGTCCTCAGTTACAAGTGTCGTTGGTCGCGTTATGCCGTTTCGGGTGCTGACGCCCTCAGAACCCTCCTTTAGAATATCTGTGCAAAGGATACTCGCACCTGCCGTCCAGATCTCCGTTGGACCAGCAACACAGCATAGATCAAGGTACTTTGACGCAATCCCAGTGAAGCTGACGTCGCTGCAGTCGCCTCTATCCTTGCAATGGGCCTCAGCAATAGCAAGTACATGACCCTGCACCTCAACGAGACTGAGACCAAGAAGCAAGTCATATCTACTGCCAGCGTTAGAAACATCCTCCCAGTTGTCAAGCTGTTCCTATTCAATCTCCATCAACGCAACAACTGTATTTCCTACATTACCCTCCACAGCGTGTGCAGCACCACTGCCGCAGCACATCATCACGACGAGGAGGACCAGCACCGCGGAAGTAAACACATGCCGGGACATGTTGGGCCTCTGCGGCTCACTCTCTCTTCCTTCCCTCCTCCTTCCGCTGGATCCGGTCACGCGGCGACGGTTGTGTGTGCGGGGTGCCTTCACAGCAGCAACACGTGAGAGCATATAAATATGTGTGTGTGGGCGGTGTGTGTGTGGGCGGTGTGTGTGTGTGCTGTTGGTCCTTTCAGTGCCTTCGAATTTCACAGTAGCGTTTGGCGCCTGTTTGCTTTCTTTCCTAACGTGTCTGTTTACAAGAATTGGAGAGTACAGCAGCAACAGCGGCAATACACCAGAAAGGTCAGTGAGGAGCAGAGCAGAGCACCCACGCAGAGAGCGAGTCATAAGACAATCCGGAAGGGACGGCACGGAGGATCATCGCCCACAGAAAAAGGCAGCAACACGGCAAATCACGGCGGGCCGTCGGTGTGTGCGGGCCAGCCCTCACGCGGTGCAACACGCCTCACACCCAACAGGGAATGACAAACAGAGAGACAGACAAAAATAAATGGATGCCGCCAGGAGGCACTCACGATCAACATGGCCCGTGAGCATGCGGCCACCCCACGCAGGAACACAGGAGGAAAAGATGAGAGGGGGAAAGCAAGAAGCAGCACAACACACATGAAGGAAACAAACGACAGGCAGGAAAAGCACCGCCACGGCCCTCACCCTGGCCGGCAACTCCACACCAGCCCTCACACACACACACTGCCGCCATCGCCTCCAGTTCAGTCCCACGGGCAACGGGATACGGCCACAGCCCCGCAGCCAACACACAACACACACCGAGCAAACAATCACCCAAGGAGCCACACACGGAGGTGATTCCTCATCCACCCATGACGCGGCGCCTCACTCCATGCGGTCACACGGAGTGCACCATTTCCTCTAGAACTTATTATTCGTCCATCCCTTTGAGATGCTTCTGTTGGTGATGGGCCTTAAAACACAATAAAAGGAAATGGACAATGCAGTATTACTGCAACACCACCAGCCACAATGATTCCCTCATAGCGGGGCGATTCTCCAATTATCCCTCGCACACACACACACACACACACACACGTATCAAAAAATATATAAATCCCACAATAATTTTTTTACCAGAAGTCACAGCTGCCCCTTTCCCTCCCTAATTTATTTTCCTGTTTCGGTGGTCCTTCCACACTTCGGTGAGCTTCTTCTCTTCTAAATTCTCCGGATGATATTGACACTTGGTACTGGCGCTCCTTTTCCTTCCAAAACGCCGCTATTTCACGGCTTTCATCATTGCCCACACTCTTGGGATTGACGGCACCACATCTCTGCCAGCCATCTATCGCCGTGCTGTCTGCGTGCTGCACGTAAATAATCTCCCACGACAATCATTGAGCAAATTCCTCCCAATCATTAAAATATGCCGCCAGGCACTCAGTGAACAGCCTCACAGTGCTGGCTGTGGTGTGGTGCTCACCCGCCGTAGTCATCCGCAGCCCAAGCAGCGTCATTGGATCCGACTCCATAAAGAAAAAAAACCGTCCACCAGCGGAAAGTTCTTCGTCTCCGGTGTGTACAGCACCCCGTACTTGATATTATTATTTTTATGGTATTCCATTGCGACCAATCCACATATAACTCGGTGGGGTGCCCTTCAGGGTTCGCCTTCAGCACCGAGTACTCTCCTCCACGAAGTGCTGGTGGCCTCGGCTTCCTGGGCTACTCTACTAATGCACTGACAGACTCCCCCAAACTTAAACGCGCACAAGCCAAACCTTCCCATACATTCACACAAAATAGTTTCCCTCTTCCCCAGTACTAGCAACAGAAAAAAAATATCTTTCTCACCCATCACGTTTGCCAAAATAGTGCGGTATTCGACGCCCGAGGCACAAATATATCGGTGCGTTAGGAAATCCCTCAGCACCGACTTCTCCTCTTGCTCGGACAACACCCACGAGCTTTTGAGACGGATTCTCAGAATACAATAGTCTCACTCCCCGATGTATGAAGTGCTTTTCACCATCCCGGGACTTGATCCCATCCAAGGCATCCTCAATGGCCGCACCGTGTGCAATGAACTCATTCGCATCAAAAACGTAACGTGGGACCGGTCCCGTATAATACATTTGTTCTTTGACCATCTTCCAGTATTCCGCTTGCTCATCTCTAATCCCATCGCGCTTCATCCATGCACACATCGCCTTCACATCCATCCCGTCTGGGCAATTCACGATGATTCGCTCGGCGTTTGATTGCCTAATCCATTTACCATAGTTGCGCACGTTTGACGATGCCACCACAACCATGACCCATCTATCATAACGCACAAAATAACTTGCTGGCGGTGCCACTTTCTCCGTCACATCGTAGATAACATACCCTTTCATCCCACGCCGCCATAAATTACAAAAAAATTCCTTGGATGCTTCACCACCCACGTATCTTGCCACCGTTTTGACGGTCTTTTCAAACACGTACGTCGTACTTCCACCAAAACTGTGCGCAACCACTTGGAGTTTCTCGGCATCGCAGTGCAGCAGCTGGTGGAGAGGGTACGAACCGGCAGCCATCAAATTCCCGATCCCGGGCGTCCCAATCAACACACGTCGCCTAGGCTCAAAGTAGGTCCCAGGGTGAGTGCTGAGCAATTCGGTTAGATCATTCCTGACGGTCTGCCACACTCGCTCCACCTCACAGTTCACATGGCAGTCACGAGAAAATTTATTCTCCTTCCACGAGTACGGCCATCCCATTCCGAGGTGAGCACCGTCAGCCTGAGACGCTTTGCACCGGATTACTCCACACCGTCATCCTTTTCGAGACTCACGCCAACTGCCTTGTACGTCCATGGCTGCGGTGGTTCCCCATCCCTCGTTTCCATTCCCGTCCCCTCGCCGCCAGGAACTTCCACGACATGATGCCACCCCGCATTGTACACAGACTAGTACACTCCCTTCAGGTACCTCGGTGCGCTCGACGTCGTTGGATTCCGCGTTTCCTCAAGTGTCGCATCCAAAAACCTTTATTGACTCCATGAACATTTGCTTTTACCTCCGCAGTAGCCACCAACCACTTCAGTAGATTGCACACGCCATTATCGTAAAGCCTGCTTACATCTTCTCCCATATCCATTTCATCCATCACAGCCCTCTCCACCCTCACATAACGATCGGATGCCTGCATTTCGCCCAATACTCCGGCATCGCAAATATACTTCTCAGGGTCCTCAAAAAAACGTCTTCAGCAAGGCATTCCCATTGGCGTCCACTGCACCCCTGCCGTCCAATTCCATCGCAGGAAAAATTATTCAGCTCCATTTACTCGACGCAAACTCTTCCTTTAAGCAGTACATCTTCGATCCTGGTGAAAATGGCACATCCTTTTTGCTGGTCCCGCCCTGCCCTTTCTTCTTTCCGTATCTGAGTTAAAGCTTCATTTGATTGTCCCTTGCAGAAGGAGTGACCGTATCATTCCTTTCAAAGTCACCCCAATGTTCAAGAAAAACCACGCCCCGTCCAAAAGCTTATTCTCATCTATTAAAAGCCGAGAATCTTTTGAATTTAAAACTTCTTCAAGAGGCTGGTGGTCATAGACGTAAGCTTCGGGCCTCCGAACAAACTCTTCCATCGCCACATCTTGGTCTTCATCAACGGCCGTCCTGAAGCCAATATAATTCCAAAGGAAGTCATTGAGCTTCGTTTTGGTGCCGAGACTGTCTCCGTCTAGCAGTGCACCTTCCACCCGGCCGTCAAGATCCCGCTGCGTTCGTTCTTTACTCCTCTGTGGGTCGCAGCAGGCTGATCCATGTCGCTATGGGTCTCCAGCATCGGTCTCCTACCATCTCCCTGCGGCACAGCAGATGCTTGAATTCCAGGCATTGTTTCCCTTGTTTTTATTTGTATTGAGTTAAAGCTGAAAACTGAGCACCAATCAAAGGAGAATAAGAAAGACGAGGAGACATTAGTCACAGGCATGACTGGCAGCCACAACAAGAGACTCACCCACACAGTGTGACGGCACAGTGTGCGACGCACACCACATGCACGAGGACAACCGCGACGACGGCAAGTGGGTGCCATCCACCCAGCACAGTCTTGGAGAGAGCAAACGATAACAACATTGGGGTTAACAACAATGACGAGCGCGCCCTCCCCATACAGTCATCGTGGAAGATGAAGGAGCCATGCAAGCAGTCGCCCAAAATAGAATCATTTCACAAACCACAAGGATCAACATCACTGCTGGTCCGAGAAGCTATAGATTCTGTGATGCGCAGCAGCCGTAGCCTCGCGCCCTCCCCTCAACCAGCGCCGCGCACCCACAAGTGCCGCGCAGCAAATACACACGGCCATTTGTTTTGGCAGTCCACAGGACGGCAGTAGCACAGAAGAAACTCGAGCAAACAATGCCATGTTCTTTTTTCGTGCACTTGTAAAAAAATTACATCCCTCCACTGGCAGATAACAATTTGACCAAAATTCACAACAGAGTGGGAATGCAAGAGAAAAAACGTATAAAACATATTGCCATTACTAAGTTATTGCCCTCTCCTTCCGCGTGAACCCTCAAAAAAAAGTGGCAGTGTTTTATCACTGTTTAAAGATCCGTACTCGAATTTCCCCATAATGCTGCCGCATTGACTATTGACGTTAGGGGGTTGCGGAAAAAAGCAACACGCGAGCCGCCGTGCCGCAGTAATGGGCCGTTCCGCTGTTGCCGCAGTGGAGGCACGTCCATTTCGCACCGTTTCTCAGGTAGAGCATCGTTCTGCAACCCAAACGCCAATATCTCCCACTCCTAGTCCAATTAACGTCGCGACAGATGAAGTACGGTAATGACGTTGGAATTACGGCAAGTTGTGTAATGGCGCCTGGACGAATGGTGCGCTGATGTGACTTCTGGGACGATTTGAACAAAACAAGACACCGTTTTATTATTGCCCGCCAGTGGCTGCGCAAGTAGTCCACGTGCCATGAGGGGAATGTGTGCGTTGCAGGTTCTTCGCTCCCTCCTGGACCTCGTGGTCCACTATGTCCCCCCAGTGATCCTCGCAATAGGCAAAAATATGCAACATTATCACCCTTGTTGAGAAGAAAGTGGTATCGGCGCGGATGGACCACAAATAGCCCGGGATGAAATCGCACAGGAATGGGCAAATGGCTACGTGTTTTGTCCAAGATAAGCCGTCCGTGCGCAGTAGGATCACAGTGTGTTGCTATCTCCAAGCTCGTGGAGGCAATGAATAACAGACTTCAGCAAGACGAGACCAGCGTCAATCTCCGCAGAGTAGGATCATGCATCCTTTGACGTGGGCGTGTGACGAACAAGCACAAGTTAAGGAGCATTTATGAACTGTACACCGCTGCGGAAGAGGAAACCAAACCTCCTTTCCTCTCCTCCGAGACACCGCCATCCGGCCATCCTTCAATGACGGTGTTGTGATCAGAAAACAGCATGTGACAGTGGGCGGTTCGTGCCGTAATGAGTCTAAACGGCTCCGCCGCATCCGTCGATGTCGTTCGTACGGCCAAGAGGTAAAAAGTGACGCGGTCAATTCGTACATGTAGGAGGAAAGCCGACACACCAGCAGGCGAAGGTCCGGCACAAAGTTGCAGAGGATAGAGGCTCGTAATATTGGGTCCACCGATGCCTCTGGCAAAGAGGTCCGATTTGCTGCGGCCCTCAGGATTCTTACTTGCACGCAGACCTTCAGTGTGGAGAAGACGCTGTCCAGGTGGGTGTCGGCAGTTCCCGCATTCCTGGGTAGTCCCGCAACCGCCTTTATGACTGAGGTCCAGCCTTGCAACAACTGTGACAACAGTGAAGGTGTGTGCGTGGGAAAGTGTGCGGACCTCACAACCACACAAGAGAATCTGTCCTGCCGTCCATGCGTAAGACCGCACCCGTGTGGGGTGTCGTCTTCCACACAGAGAATTGCGGCAAAAGATGATCTGTTGAATTCTGGCCTTGCGGCGCCGGAAATCCTCCTCGAAATTGGTGAGGGCGTCCAAAGTAACCCCCAGGATCTTACGGGCTGCCTGCCGCAGGGGTACCGTCGTCCGTTAATTCTGGAGAAATCCGGTACAGGGGATTTGTGGTGCCCTGCAATGCGCATCGCCATAAAGGAGGTCCTGTCCGAGAGTGGAAGACCCTTGGCTCTTGTCCACTCCAAGATGGCATTAAAGAGCGGTTACATCGCCTCATCCAAATGAGTTATGCCTGGCACGGTATCCCTCACGATCACATCACACGCATAGGCCACAATGCCGGCAGTGATATTGTGATCGATGATCGGAAGGTGCACAATCGGGTGGGCAATGGCTGCCGGTAAATGCGCCTGTTGAAAGCTACGTATTGGGTCATCGAGAAATACTTCGAATGGCCACGGTCCAAGAACAGATCCTTGAGGAGCACCGCACGGTAGCAGTGCCCAGACAGAGTAACATCCCATACGGAAGGTGCGTCCACGTCTATCCGTCAGCCAAGCGAGCATAAACCTCTGCTGTTACGTCGAGACACCCAAGGACAGTGTACCATCCATAATGTGACGGTGTGAGGCCTTGCAAAAGCCGTCAGTAAAGCATAGGAGGGCCGGTATGCTCTCCCGACATGCTTTGCTGCTCCTGCTCGGATGATTCTTGCACCCAATTTCTCGCCAGCGTTCAGGGGTCTCCATGCCGAGACGCACCGGGACAAGGATCCTCGTTGTTCTTGCTTCCACCGTCGTGGGGCAACAAAGAAAGCCACATTGCGCGTCACACATTGAGCCGTGCGTAGCCAGAAGCGCACCTTCCAGAACCGCCCGTTCACAGACACTGGAGAGTAATGAGGTGATGCGGACCGGACGGTCGCTTTTGGCTGCATCCGGTGCCTTTCCAGGCTCAATTAGCAAAATGAAAGCGCAGCGCTTCCAGAACGCCGGAACGTTTGTAAGGTCCCAGAGAACCTTCTTTTATGTCCTTGCCAGACGTGGTTCAAGGGCATTGCCAAACGTCTGTGGGAGACAAAAAAATGCCTTCGTTGCCGGGCGCCGACGTTGGCCGGAGTTGTTGCAGGTCCAACCGCAATTCCCACACCGTGACTGCCTAGACGCTGTACTGCTGCCGGTATACGGTCCTCACCGCCAGAGCGTCGGCCGAAACAACCTTGGTGGAGCACGCCGCGTTGAATAACGCCGCCTCCTCTCGTGCCGTGGATAAAGCTCACAGGCCGTCCCAAAGTTCTGTGTTCGATGAGGGGTGGAGCCGCAATGGCCTCGCCGTAGTGTTCCCAAATGCCATCGTCTCTCATTGTCCCTTTTTGGCATTGGGGCACGACCGCGGCCGTGCTGAGGCCAACGGTCTAGAATGGAGTGAGTATTTGAGTGCCCGCTCCAAGAAGCCTGCCTCGGCCCGGCTCCCTGTGATGCGATTACACGCAGATCAAATATGGGCGTCCGTCACTCTAGGCAAGCAGATGGATATGGGACGCCGTGGCAGAGAGCACTCCTTGATGCTGGGGTCTATGATTGCCAACATCCGATCACCTTTCCGCGGAACCTCCGGCATCACCTTATGTTAGGTGAGTCGACATTGGGGCGCAAGAAGTACGAGAACTATAGCTGCGCCATGGGTGTTGAAGGCTGTTGGCGGCAATCCTACATTGGAGAGAAGAAACCCCCTCGAGGCGCACCAATCCAATATGTACTCGCTCTGCACGCTCAGTATGTAAGCTGGCTTGCCTTGTGGAGCGGCAACTCCTGTGCACCAATTGCCGTGTCGAGCATTGAATTCCCCGGCAATAACGTCCACGCCGCCTTTTCTTCTTTCCTCGTGTATTTTCAAATGAATCCAATAGCCCGCACGCCAGCCAGCATTTTTTTTTTTTTTTTTTCATTGAGCAACACGGTCGCTATTCATTGATCTCCCGAGGGCTGTCCGTGGCGATGTGGCCAGTTTTTCCGTCTTGAACGATGCTGTCGTGCGAGAGGTGGTGTTCCCAAATAGTCGGATGCTCAGTTTTCGAGGACGGGGGCATTCCCACAGCGTGTGCGGCAGGGCCTTCCCGTGGACCGTCAGGCGGCTCAGCGGCTGGTGGGGGTTGCAGCGGAGGAGTGGCTGAAGGGCTACGGCTGTCATTGGGGCTTGCAGAGGTGCGCTGTCCGTTTTTTGCTCGTTGATACGCTTGGCATTTTCGGTAGTGACCAGCGCGTGAGGCACTTGTTGGGAAGACCGTGGAGCTGTCGCAGAATCCACGTGTGAGGCCTTCTGCAACGATTGGAGTGCCAGGGTTAGTGCGTCGGGCGTGTGCCTTCATATTGTGGACGGACGAGAAGACGCTGCCGCAGCTTGGGCAGGGCGACGTTGATCCGCTGCTCGTCATTCTACGAGGAGGTGCCGTGGAAACGCCAGGTGGAGGTTCCGGAGGAGGTCGGGGCGGTCCTGCCTCTTCAGTGTGAGGAAGGGCAGCACCACCGACATAAAGGGTTTCTTGTGATCTGCAGGGCGCGTGCCGGTATGCCGAAGAGTGGGCGGGGGTCGCATCGCACCTGCGCACAAAGTCCGGGATTCGATGCCCGATGTCTGCCTGGACACCAGGAATGTTTTTTTTTTTTTTTTAGTCACCCCGACGAGCGCCTGGCGTGCGGTGTGCGTGACTTCTTTTTCCTCCTTGACTTCCTTACAGTATAGCCCCTTGACGGCGGCAAGGAATTCCACGTGCCAGATTGGGATGCCTCATTGCTGCAGGGATCGTGCGCAATCGTGGCTTCTTTGTCGGCGGCCCCATTGCGTGGGACACCGCGGTGCGATGGGGAAAATATAAGGTCTGCAGGGTGACCTCGCTTCACCAAGGAAAGCAGCATAACCCAAATCCGTTCAGCAACGCAGTCACGCACGGTCCGTGGGGCAACGCGGAGTGCCTCAATTGCCGAAAGGGAGTCCGTTTCCTCCAGCATTCGTGTGGGCGATTGGAATGTTTCCAGACAAGAAGGTATGAGATGTCTAATGCCATTTTCAGTGGCAGGTGACTCAGCTGTCTATGAGCATGCGAGTCTGCCAGCTGCTGCACGATGGACCTCCACAGGGAGATCATTTGTCTTTGTGGGGCCGTATAATGGCGCAGCGGATCCGGATGCGAGTTCAGCGAGGGATGAAGAACCGTCTGTCCATAATTCAAAATCAAAATCTTCTAGAGAGGAGTAAAGGGAATCAAAAGCCGTGCGCTTGCCATCGTCAGACGCATCTTTGGCAAAGCGTGGCTGATAAAATTCCACTTTATTGCAACTCACGGTGTCGCAGGGAATAATTCGATGTTGGGTAATAGGAGGAGCGTGATTGTGGTTGTGTGGTATCCCAATAATGCCACATACGCGTTCTAATCCATTAATAACGGAATCTCTCGGAAGCGGGATTGATGTCGCCGCTTTCCTATGCATGGACAGCGGCATAGGTTCCGAGTACATAAGGGAACGCAAACCCTCGTGATTATGGAAACGTGCATGGCGTTCGTGTTGTGTGGTTTCACAGAGCCAGAGTATCTTCCGGAGCGGGAGAAGATTGGCTTCCAAGCAGACAGATGTATCTTCCGTTGGTGCACTAATGCCAAGGGATGCTGTACAACTGTCGCGGTACAGTACTTCCGTATTATGGAGGTAGGTGTAGGCGAGGCATGGGTGAATTGCATCGCCATAATATAGTTACACACCATGGACGTATCCAATCAAAAAGGATCGCATGGTGTGATGGGACGCACCAGCCTGTGCGACCAGTCGCAATTGGTAACGGCGTGGCATGGTCTGCTTTGCAGCGGTGGAAGCGTGCGGACCACAATTAAGAAGTTGTTCAATCGTGACGCCCAGCAAGCGCACTGGGCGGGACTGAATACGTAGGTTCCCATTGCCAAGAAGGAGATCGGCCATGTCTTTGTCAGACCGTGTGTGTAGAGATGTGGAATAGAGCAGCTTCACTCTTATCAACGTTGATTTTGAGGCTGTGCTCGGCAGCCCATGTCGTTATAGGTGACAGGGCAGGTTACATTACCGCAGCACATGCATGGATGTCCGCACCTGAGGCAAAAAGCGTGAGGTCGTCAGCGTGCACGAATGCGGAGGCAAAAATAGATGCTGCCCAGGCGGCGCAGCAGATCATCCACATGATGGAGGAAGAGTTGGGGTCCCGGGACGCTGCCTTGCGGTACTCCGGCTGAGGCGAGTTGTTTCCGGGAGTGCTGTTCGCGAGTGCATACCCTAACACGGCGGCCCGCAGGCAGTTGTGCAGCCAGCGTTTGGTTCGAGGCCAAGGCGCGGGAGTCTGTCAAGCATGCCGAATAACTTCTCATGGTCAATGGTGTCGAAGGCAGTTGAAAATCAATTAAGGCTACGAGCGAGCGATGTTGACGAGGGTGCCGTGTGGGGCGCCGCCTCCAGGGCGCTCAAACTCCACAATGCTAAACTCATTCAATCCACGGGCGATTTTGCCAATAACAATTGTCACCACGTCCGATTTAGAACGCGAAGGTGTAAATCCAAACTGACGTGGGTGGTGCGGCAATAACGCTGACAGACGGCGGTGAATCATTCTTTCGGTTTAGTAAAACAGAGAGTGATTTGATAGGTCTGCAACTCACTGGGCGGCATGGATCTTTCCCAGGTTTGGAATGTGAATAGCGTTTCCCATTTTCCAGGAGCCGGGCAGGCTGCCATTTGTGAAGGAACTGTGGATCATCGTTCTAAGAGTGCCGCGCGCAACGGGCCCGAGACGATGCAGGAATTCATCCAACATGTTGTCGTGGCCAAGGGCTGAGCCAAGCAAAGAGTCGCAGATGGCCACGTCAAGTTCATACGGCGCGAAGGGCCGATCCATTTCCCAGTCACCAGGGGGCAATGGAGTGCAGCAGCAGCAGCAGCAGTATAGGGTAATGTGGCACGTGAAACCCGCACAAAATGATAAACGAGCAGATTTGCCTGTTGCCGAGGCAGAGCACAGACGCGGTCCGAAGATCAGTGCGGAGCACAACCAATTCCAGAGGATGAGGGTGCGGCGCCGCCACGCCGCGAAGATATTGCCAGCTTGGGCTGTATGAAGCCCCAAGTTTTTCCACACGGGCTTCCAGAAGCGTAGCGAAGTCCCGGCGTAAGGCTTG